AGGGGAAAAAGAAGAAGTAAAACTCCCTCCAGTAAATTTAGTTAAAAGTTTTAAATATATAGGTGGGTAAATGTTTTTCTTTTCAATAATATTTTTAAGCCAATTGACTAATGTGGTTCGTTTATTAATGATTGTGTTTTCAGAAATATTTTCTCTTATTCTTGTATTAAGAGTATAAGTGAAAAGAAGCCATAAATGCTCTAGGTAAAAGCAAATTATTTCTTATAATTAACAAGGAGCAAATTAAAATTGTTCTCTCTCATCTGTTTATATTATTAACAATTAAAATCTGGCAAAAATATTATTAACAATTAAAAGTATCAAATACAACATGTTTACAGTTGATATGCAGCATTTGAATTGTCCACGGTGGCTTGCTAATTTCCTCGTTATGATCAAGGACAACATTTTTCTGACCATCATGATCAATTACAAAATCTTGATTCTATGCGTCTCTTGAATTACAGTGTAGCTAATGATGATGATGTAATTTACTCTGATGTATAATAATACGTTGGCATGCAATATTGCAATGAAACAAATTTTAAGCAAAAATAATGTCTATTTCTTGGCAGATTGCGCAGAAAAAGATTAAACAAAAAATGGCGTATGCATGCAAATAAATCGATGCTTGGTAAGTGGATCGTTCCTAATTTTGATACAATGTGGTTTTAAACATGTTATCCAAAAGATATATGGACACTACTTTTGGGAAAATGATTTTGAACCCTAACATTTGCAAAAATTCCCATGCTCTGTTCCTTCTACTAGCTCTAATCTTAAATATAAGACCTTATTTAAACTTTATTTGTAAAATGATGTCTTATATTTAAGACTGAAACTAATATTATATAGTAAATGCTACATTTTGATGTGGAGCATTTATTTTTCTTGTATCTCATATTTACATTAAAATTTAAAAGCTATTATCAATATTTGTTGATAACAAAATCCAGACTTTTGTTTTAAAAAAATCGAACTTGAATATGAAATTAAACAGTGGGCGAAAATGAAATATTTTTGGTAGGAAAAAAAATAGGGGACGAGATTTCTTTGGACATATATAATCATTGACTTTATGGGACATATAGTTTGGTATTTTTTTGGGATAGATTAAATTATATTATTTCACTAGGGTTTGATGGATTATATTTGATATTGTTTATTTTTTAAAAAAATATTCAAATCTGTTAGTAGTTGATTTTATATTATTAAAAACATCTTATTTGGTTTACTTTCTGTCAAAAAATTATTATTATTATTTATTTGGATTATTCGTCACGCCTACGACCTGATAAAGTGGCTGTGATCCATGCAACAAGATATTGGATCAGGCTTCCATTATTATCCCTGGCGTAAATGGTTAATTTCTTCAGGGGGAAAAGGGGTAAAGAGATAGCTACACACGCATATATGGCTATTTCAAACCACCCGTTTTGTAAAAGCAATTAACAATAGAACCAGTTGTAAATTGTACTAGTATACCACCTCTAATTCTTAATACAAGAGTTAGTTTATTTTTAATTTTAATCATAAATATAAGATTTTTTTTAAAGTAGTTATTATAATAATTACACATATTAAAAATTTCATCAAATGGTAGTTCTATTTAATATACATGGTTAGCAAGAATATTTTAGAAAAAACATCTATTTATTACAAATAATTAAATTAACAAATTTTCTTAATATATTCAAATTAATCAATTAAATTTTATATTAGGGATCGGAATAATATTTTTTTGGCCAATAAATTGTACTACTCTATCCCTTATTATAAGATTATTTCAATTAAATTGCGGGGTTTAAGAAAATAATTAAAATTAGTTAAAAATAATTAATATGCAGCAAATATAGTTTTTTTTAAAAATATACCTCTATATGTAAAATTGTAAATGGATAAAGGTGAGAGAGTAATAGTGAGGTGAATGAAGAAATAGAATGTATTAAATACATTAAACTAGAGATAAAATAGGTAATACTGCATTAAATATTTAGACAAATTTAAAAAGAACCTTATAAAAAAAAACCCATTTAAAAAATTAGATATTATAATAAAAGGCGAAGCGAGTACTTATATATATGAGATGACGGCGGAAGAAGCAATAAACTTATAGGGATTGAGTGGAACCCCAGCCTACAATTAGATGTCGCAGCCACTTGAGCCCCAAGGATTATTCAACACATACATTAATATTATCTCTAGTTTTTAATATAAGATCTTGTTTAATTTTTATTTTGATCTTAAATATAAGATCTCAATCAACTTTCTCTTTCATATTTATGCATTTTTTTTTAACATAGTCTTTCAAATAATAGTAGTTCTAGCCAATATACTTGATTAATAAGGATATTTTAGGAAATATAACACTTATTTAATTACAAATAACTAACTTAATTTTTTTTAATTTATTCAAATTAGTCAACTAACTTTTATATTTAGGACCAGAGGTAGTATTAGGCCAGCATTCATCATAATTTTTAGAATTTAAAAAGAAAGACATTCCCTCAATACAACATATACACGCGCAAAATATTTTCTTTTTGACATTGCATTTTTTTCTTCTTGTTCATGACAGGTGAGCAGTAAAAATTAAAAACTTGTTATCATTTTCTGAACGAATTATGGTTCATAATTTTTTTAAATATAAACATGCGTGTTTAAAATTTATTAATTTCTTTGATTCTTATTATAAGAACTTATTATAACTTTGATAAGATCCGACAAATTAGTTGAGAAATCAGCTAAAATTACTTATATGTAAAAGAAAAAAATATAGCATTTTAAAACACTCTCTTGATTAATATAATTATCATATGGGGAGGAAGCCAAGGACAGTGAATGGTCAAGAGTGAAAATGATAATAATATTCATTAATATAGTTTTTTTAAATTTGTAAAAAAAAATCTTGTATTAAGGATTAATAAGTAGAATCTTAAAAAAGATTAAGGTTTGGATATATCATTTGTGCATAGATATTGATGGCCAACTGGGCAAATGCATGAAAATCATTCTATACTTCGATGTCCTCTATCCGTACAATTCACTAATCAAGCAATGATTTTGAATCAGGGATACAGTATCGCCTTTAATAGAACATGCATCTGCATTCATATATCAACCAAGAAAAGCATAGGAAAATACTACATCCGGTCCTAATTATAAGACTCAATTAACTAATTTAAAGAGATTAAAGAAGTAAGTTAAATTAGTTATTTATAATAAATAAATGTTGTCATTCCTAAAATATCCTTGCTAATTAAGTGTATTAGTTAGAACTATCATTATTAGAAAGATTATCTTGGAAAAAAATGCATAAATATAAGAGACAAAATGGATTGGGATCTTATAATTAAGATCAAACAAAAAGTCAAATAGGAATATAGGATTTTATATTAAGGACAGGAGGTAGCATCCAAAGTTGAGCTGGCGTTATTTTGACCAATCCTTCTATTTTTCAGATAACATGCGCTTTTTTTTTTTTAAAAAAAAAAACAATTTATAGGTTGGTGAACAAATTGGAGTACGAATCCCCATAAAATCTCATGGATTACAGCTAATTTCATTTCAATAATGCTTTTTTTAGTTCTTATTATAAGCTTGGAATAGCAGATTTGCATGTAAGAAAAAACGAATTAAATTTAATTAAAAATAATAAATAGATAATAAATACACTTTTGTTTAAATATATATGTACATTAAATGTTGAAACAAATTTAAACTAAGACTTATAAAATAAAGTATAAATTTATAATCTTTTTCAAATTTGTTGGGGAAAACCCTTTTCGAATATGAAGCTTATAAATAAATAAGAGATGAAAGAGTATCAAGGAATATTTATTTACCGAAAATAGGTGTTTTGCCAACACCGAAAATAGTGTTTAATTTTTTTTCAGAAAAACAGGTGAAAATAAAATACAATGAAATGGCGTAACGCAGGGCACACGAGACAGCACGTGTATGATATCGCTTCCATCAAGATTAGCATAGATCCTCTGTCCCCCCAAAAGTCTTTATTACAATTTACAAAGCCCCACAAAACGACACTCTTTCGACACATTCTCTCTCCATCTTTATTACACCACCCTCTTGTATTTTCTTTTCCACCATCCATACATTGATACAAACAGATATTCTTCCCTTTTCTCCCTATGTCAACATTTCCCACATTTTTTAATATTTACAAATGCATATTTATTCTACAAAATAATTTTTATTCAACAAAATATATAAATATTTGTATAATTTATTTTTATTCGGAATAAAGCATGTGTAACGTTCGAAGTAAAAAATTTTGTCCAATATTTTTTATTGAATTAAAAAATCGCTATATTTTTTACAGTAAGAGTTTAAATTTTAAAATTGAATTGCAGCATGGTCTCACGACTTTAAAGCTAACCTTCTTGAATTAAAGTCACAAATTTATTGCCGGCAACAGGAAATGAAACGGTGAGAGTTAGAACGTTGCCGTATTAAATGGTTTAGAGTTAGCGCGGGGAGGTGACGGCGCCGTTTCTCCGTTGACCTGCCGTCAACCCCAACCCCACAGTCTTTTTCCCAGAACCCGACCAGTTACTGTGGGAGACACTCACAAATCCCGAAGATTGACCAAAATCTCGTCAATCCCTGCGAGATATCGCTCCGCGAGTGGGGCACCCTGGAGAAAAGAGAAAGGAAAAGAAAAGTAGCTGATATGGAGATCGCACCCAAGTGGATTTCAGAATCTCAGCGCCATGTCTCATATTTTCAAAAAGAAATAAACAAAACAAGAGAGAGAGAAGATTTTGGGATTTCTTAGTGAGAGAAAGATTTGATCTTTTGAGAGAGACTTTTTATATTGGGGGAGAAAGTGAAACACCCACACACAGCACACACATACTTACATTTTCGACAGATAGATTCAAAACAAACAACCTTCCTTACATGTTACACCGTATTTAACGTTTTAGCTCCCTCCTCCCAAAGCCTCCCCTTTTCCTCCCTTCTCTTTCTCTTCTTCTTCTTCTTCCAGCAACTTCCGGCGAAGAACGGTGTCGTTCATGGAGGTCTGTGATCTCTTGCCGCCGGATTCCGAAGAGGTTCATGTCTTGGCTGTCGATGACAGCCTCGTCGATCGGAAAGTCATCGAGCGCTTGCTCAGGATTTCAGCTTGTAAAGGTGTGTGGAGAGGAAAATGGGGTTTTCGATTGTTTGTTTCTCTGTTTTTCTGTGTCTGGGGTTGAAGATTTATTTTCTCATCTGTTTGGGAATTTGCAGTCACTGCTGTCGACAGTGGAATAAGAGCCCTGCAATTCCTTGGACTTGACAACCAGAAATCTCCTTCCGAATCGGACGGCTTTGATGTGAGGAATCAATTTTCATTCCTTGATTTTATTTTAATTTCCTCGAAAAGTTTATTTTTCTTGAAACGGAAAACTAATTCCATGCTTGCTCAGGGTTTAAAGGTGGATCTAATCATCACTGACTACTGCATGCCTGGAATGACCGGCTATGAATTACTCAAGAAAATCAAGGTTAGAAAATTCTCAATTTCTTATTTTCAAACCCCCACATTATAATTCGAAAATCCAATAGCTTTCTAAAGCGAAAAATGTCAATCTGGATCAGGAATCTTCCACCTTCAAAGAAATTCCAGTGGTGATCATGTCCTCTGAAAACGTTTTGCCCCGAATAGACAGGTACATATATATAGAGAGAGAGAGACACACACACACAGGCACACACATATAGCATAATTTTGAAAGATTAATTAATTAATTAATTTGTAATATTTAACGAAATGGAAAAAATGGAACATGAAGGTGTTTGGAAGAAGGGGCAGAGGATTTCATAGTGAAGCCGGTGAAGTTATCAGACGTGAAGCGGTTAAGGGATTACATGACGACAAGAGAAGTTAAGGCGGGAAGTCAGGAGAGAGAGGGCGGCGTCAGGTTCACCAAAAGAAAGCTGACAGAACCCGCTGATCTGGATTCATCGCCGCCGTCCGTAACCTCGTCATCTGTACTGTCATCGTCCCCGTCGTCACCGTTGGATTCGGCTTCTCCGACGCCGTCGCCGTCGGTCTCCCCTCCCCCTTCACCTTCCCCGCTCGATTCTCCAGTCACGCGGCTTAGAATGACCACCACCACCAGCGCCGATTGACTATTAATAATAATGATGATGATAATGATAATATGGCTTATGTTCTGTTTATTATGCTCCTTGTCTCCGGTGGGCATTCCTGCAGTTTTTACATTTCTAATTTTCTTTTCTTTGTGTTTATCGGCTGTATTATTGTTTATCTGCGCACAGGATTCAAACTTGATGAAACTGCAATTGCCCGTTGTTTGTAACGGTTTTTGTTGCATCATCCTCCTTTTTCAATTTAGTTTATACTTGGAGACGGTTATAAGTCAGGACACGGTTTACATAATACTGAGTTCATATAATCTCATCAATTAATTTAATGAAAGCTTAATTTGTGAAGTTTATTTTTAAAACTCGAAAACTTGTAATACTCCCTCCGTTCTTTATTATAAGAGACAAATAACCGAAGTACGTTGATCAAAAAAACAGTTAAAATTAGTTAAGAACAATTAGTGTGTAAAAAGTATAATTTTTTTTCCAAAAATGCCCTCATTAATAAGGAGAGAGAGCATGAGAGAGAACAATTAAATTATTAAAAGAAAGATAAGTGGGAGGGAGAGAGTGTGAGTTGGAGATAATAAATATGGGTAAAATAGTAAATCAACACAAAAAAGTAGAGACAACTTGTAAGTGTCTCTTATATATAGGAACATACCATAAGCATCAAATGTCTCTTATAATAAGGAACGGAGGGAGTAAAAAATTATAAAAAAACTTGAGAAATTTATAAATTAAAGAATGGGTAATTTTAATTCTTGTACCCAAAGAATTTTCTTTTGTGCCCTCAAAATTCATATTTAAAAGAATCCAAAATATAACTATTGCGCTCATCCATGGATAGCAAGGATTGACATGGAATGATTGAAGGATGCCAAGGGAGAAGATCACTTTTTGTTAATTTTGGAATAAGCAACTGGTTGATAATTGGGCATTTAATGGGATTGTCAGTTGTTTAAGATAAACTATATGGTTCAAAGGGCAAGGGCGGGGGGGAAGTAAAGTGAATTAAATTTTCTATTTAATGGGAATGTGAAGTGAAAGAAGAAGAATAAATGAAGAAGGGGGAAAGGGCGGAGATACGGTAAGGGGAAAAGAATAAAAAGGAGGAAGGGCAACAGGAGAAGGACAAGGAGGGTGTCCCCCAGATGAAGAGAAGGAGGGGCACTTATACTGCTGTCTTTGTCTAATTGTCCCAAACGTGGCAGGGTTGCCTTCCCCTCTCCAGCTCTCCTCTATAATGCCCTCCTTTATGCCATCCCTTCTCCCTCCATTTTTATATATCTTCCAACTCAAATGCATCTTCTTTGCGTTTATATAATCTTTTCATTTAAAGAAAAAAAATTTTGCGGCGATATTTCAGATTTTTTTTCACTAGGTATATCTGTTCTCTTATTAGAAATAATCATATTCGAACTATTGTTAAATAGTAAAGAAATTTTTTTTATATATATATAGTCATTTAATGTTAGTAATATTAACCAGTTCTGAGTGTTGTTGGACCTGATTGCTGATTGCAATTTTTTTTTGGTATTTATATGAATTTGAATTTAAAATCTCGTCTTTAAATGATTGTAATTTCTCTTACCAAAATCATTACTGATACTGTATATGATTTATAAATAATATGAGCTATTATAAATTTTATGTGTTACGTTAATATTGACCTCTTGACTTGATTTGACTTTTTTTTTTTATTTTTTTTGCCAACGAGACTTGATTTAATCTAACCATTTAAAGTTCATGGAATAACCTAAGCTGTGGAGTGCAAAACTTCATATAGCGGAGGTGATGATGGAATTTCCAATTATCTGTTTTGAAGGATGAGGGGCCTGATGCATGTTCTTTTGAGCTAATAATTATATGCATTTTTTTTTTAAATATAAAACCTATTTTAATATAAATTACACTATAAAATAAGTTTTATGTTTAAGATTGAAGGAGTAATATAAATAAATGAATAAAAAAATAAAATTTGGAAGAAATTATCTCTCAGGGGCTGATATTTTCGCGAAAACTCTGGAACATAGTGATCCGAAGATTGGAAGGGACAAGCTGCACCAACCTTATACTGTTTGAGCTATTTGTTTTTTTCCATACTTTTTTGCCTTTTTTTTTTTAATCTTTTCTTCTTTTTAAATGCTCCCTTTTCACAGGCTTTTGGTGTTTTCAAGTACCAACCTAAACTGCCATTATTTTTTGCTTTTACATTTTACTCCCTCCATATCCTGTGATCCGAACAAAGTCGGTTCGATCTTGTCAATAAACTCAAGCTATTAGTATTTGTCTCTTTCATTTTACAAAAAAAAGAAGAAGAAGAAGAAGAAGAAAGATAACAAATCACTAACCAGACACACCTCGTGGCAAACAAAGTGTTTTCGTCATTTTCTCTCTCGTCTTTTGCAAACTCAAAATAAATAAATCGTCATTGGTTGCTTAGGATAACATGTCAGACGCGGGCATATATTTTGTTTAGTCTCGATCTGTAGAATTAACTAAATTAAATGAGTTTATTATCACTTCTTATTCTTAATATAAGATCTTATTTGATTTTTATATTGATTCTCAATATAAGATTTTAATCCACTTTATCTCTCATATATATTTTTTTCAAGTTAGTCCTTCTAATAATAGTAATTCTAACTAATACAATTGATTAGTAAGGATATTTTAGAAAAAAAATATATTTATTATAAATAACTAACTTAACTTATTTCTTTAAATTAGTGAACTACTCCTCCAGTCATATATATATAGAGGTTTTATATTTAGACCAGAGTAGCTCTTATAGTCAAAACCAAAGGTAGTACTTAAAAGTGTCGAATGCTTTTAAAGACTCGTTTGATTTCGTATAAGTTATTCTTTAATTCTATTTATAAGATTTTTTAACATGTTTTGCCAAACTTAAAAAAAAAAATTCATTAACAGTTTACAAAATAATGTTTTCATAATAAAATTGTATATTCATGTAAAAAATTTAACAAGGTGACTTATATTAAGGATAAAAAAACTCTCTTTTCCATCTGTGAATAGAATTATAGGAGTAAAATTCAATGTAATTTTAAACATTGGATTAGATTGTTAAAAAAAGGCGGGCAAAACAAAGGATTGTAAGGAAAAAAATTTACGTCCATTGCTTGTTATGAATTTTATATTCTCCTATGGATATGAATAAATATTGAATAACAATGATATTGATTTTTCTTGAGTTTCTGGAGGGAGAAAGAGAGAGGAGAGAGGAGAGACGAAAATCCAAAACAGTAGATGGGCTGGGCCAGAGGAACCAGCGCGAAGATCCGAACAGTGTATTGGGGCCCATGAAACCCAAATGGGAGGAGGCACTAATATGAGAATGAAATGAACAATTTTTCTTGTAGTATCTTGCAGGTGGCCCCAAAATCTCTCTCTCCTTTTTACAGATCGTCATCCTCCACTTCTTCAATCAATTTTAGATTTGTGGCTCTTAGTCGTAAACAAAACAAAACAAAACAAAATAAAAAAGATATGTTCCACACTGTATTTCATGGTTGGCAGAATTATTCAAAATAACAATGATCCGTTAAATCACCACATGATTTGCTTGATTTTGCTAACAACAACATATAAATCTGGGCCTCCTCCATTATTTGTTTATCTCTTGCCTTCACTTAGAGACAAAACACTTCAAGTTAAATTATATATGGTGGCCACACTCAGATCCCTTTGCCTCCTCTCCTTTTTATTTCAATCCATTAAGCTATTCTTATTTATATTCCTAGTTGCCCAATATGGGCTGATTTATGTGGTAAAATGGGAATCATAGTGATATAGTTCCCTAATTAAGAAAGATTTCACCCTAATTACTCACCATCCACAGATCATCCTTTTCACATGGCCAGAGGAAGATTACATTTTAGAATGGATTACCCAAGAGCCAGCGAACAAGGTAGCTTCTGAGATTTATTATTGCCTGTATAAGAACTTGCAATTGAAATAATTTAATTTTCAAATTTCATATTCATAAATTTTATTGATAACCGGGCATTTTAAAACAAGTATTAAAATTTAAATGGTTTCAATTAAATTTAACAATTGAGCCAGGTAATAATCTCGCTGCTTTTTGACACATTATGTAATACTCTCCTTGTTTAAGAAGATCCATACTGGACATAAAGATGAGTAGCCCTCTTGATTTATGAAGCTCAAGAATAACTAACAGGATGTTTGGATTAGCTTTTTAGAAGTAATTTTATGATATATGAAGTGAGTATGTGTGAGAAGAATTTTGTCTCAACTTGTGTGAAAATACCTACTTTAAAATCAAGCCAAAACTAGAAATTTATGTTCATCAAAGGTATGGTCCAAGCTAAAAGGGGGTGCATTCATTAACAATATTCAATGTGTTTCTCTAGTCTCCTGCTCTCGTGATTTGTCATCGATGCAAAATCGTGAAATCTCTTATTCATTTTTAGCATCATTAATTCTGAATTCTTATTCATTTTTAGTACTCTTTCGATCCTTAATATAAAACCTATTTAACTAATTTGATTAGATTAAGAAAGTTAAGTAAGTTAGGTAATTATAATAAATATGATATGTTTTTTCTTCTAAAATACTTTAATCATCTTCATTATATCCTTCTCCTTCTCATACTTGATTATGGTTGAAGGAGTATCAATAGGGATGATTTGAAAAAAATTGATAGATATAAGAAATAGGTCTTATATTTAGGATCAAAATCAATTCTACAATTAGGTCATATATTAAGAACTGGAGGAGTATCATTAATTCTGAATTCTTAGTTTTGGTGAAACATGAAAATAAACGCTATTCTAAGCCCCCTCTTTCCAATGTTTTGGCTTGTGGCAAGGGGTTATGTGAAAATTGTGATTTGTTGCCCTAAAATGGTGATGACGATAGCATGATACGTTGGGCTTGACTCAGTGAGAACCATCCTTGCATCCTTCCTACTTTTTCTTGTGCTGAGTTACCCCAGGTGAAGTCGGAATAGGGTCCAAAATGTAAATATAAGAATATTAAGGGCCAGATCTCGGGCTAAGGATCAAATCTGATCCCAACCCATGTGCATGTATCCCTACCCCTAAGAAAGAAGCACTTAATGAAGCAATATGGTAGTAAAGATGTTACTGAATTCGACCAAAAATGTGACTTTGCCTTGGCACATACAGACCCAACTATGGAATCAGTTATTGTGGATTTTGGGATATAAGTCAAATCAGTGCCCAA